AAAAAAAATACTATTGCTTTTCACCAATGGGTGAGGGAAGAAGAAACCGCTGGTCCTGGTACCTCCGAAGGGGAAAAGGTGAATTGGAACAGTATCCCTAACCTACCCTCTGCACCCCAGGCTGCTTTGGTGAGGGAGCCCTCAGGATCTGAAGATTTCCATAGTCCTAGGCAGGTCCCTCTGGGACTGGTGGGTGGCCAGAAGGACGGAGAGGCTGGAAATACACATCTTTGCTTGACACCTGACCTAATTTGACCAAAAGGATATAATCATAATGAATTCCAGATCTGTCTGGCTTCTCTGGGCATCTATATATTTCCTGACGTTCCCAGAACTCCCCTCTGTTAACACTATCAAAGGCCCTTGTTAAATACATAAAAGCCATGTTTAGTGCATGATCTTTTTCACAAGCTTTTTCCTGATATTGGCTGTGATACCCTTTCGTATTGTAATACCACATGAATTTTCAGGCAGCAAAACAACCGACACATGGCTGGGCTCTGACTGTGAAGCATTCACACCATCACTTTGGCAGCAACAGAGGAAAGTGAGCTTTCCCCCTCCCTCAATAATTTCCACACTCACCTGGCATCCTTTATAGGTTTGTTTGGGGTTTTTTTTTTGGCCTGGTCTTTGTTCCCCAAGTGGATACAAATAAGTTTGGACAGAGCTCCCTGGGAATAATATTTCTTTGCAAAGCAACATTATTTCCCCTCCATTATCTCTTCCCATTGCCTCCAGAAGTGCTTTGCCTTGATTGAGCCAAGGAGAAGTTAGTAGAGTTGGGTAAATTTAATATATGCACATTCTGAACGGATTATTTGGTCAGTACAGTGGAACCTCAGAGTTACGAACTCTTTGGGAATGGAGGTTGTTCGTAACTGAAATGTTCATAACTCCGGACAAAATGTTATGGCTGTTCTTTCAAAAGTTTATAACTACTGAACATTGACTTAATACAGCTTTGAAACTTTACTATGCAGAAGAAAAATGCTGCTTTCCCTTTATTTTAGTAGTTTCCGTTTAACACAGTACTGTACTATATTTCTTTTTTTTTTGGTCTCTGCAGCTGCCTGATTGAGTACTTCCGGTTCCAAATGAGGTGTGTGGTTGACTGGTCAGTTCCTAACTCTGGTGTTTGTAACTCTGAGGTACTACTGTATTATTATTATTTATTTATATCTACTGTGGTAGTGCCTAGGAGCCCCGAGCCATTGTCCTGAACTCCATTGTGCTAGGTGCTGTACAATACAGAACAATATGACAGTATCTGTCTCAAAGAGCTTGCAATCTAAGTGAATGAATATGTATGAATTGTTTGTAATTCTGTGACTTCTGTTTAGGAATCCAAGGTTTTGAGACCATCGTGATTATGGTGAAGCATCACAAAAACAGTCATTTTCTTCAAAAGCTGAACAAGGAGTGTTATTAGGACAAGGAAAACAATATTAATCCTAATGCTGTCCCTTCCTTCCGTCTGCTAATAGACCCATAGCAATAGATTTCTGAGAGACTACCCATAAAAATAATTGAAAAAATATAAGAGAATTCTGAGGGAGAAGGGACGTCATGGTGGAAATGCTGTAATTTCAGCATTTACAGTTCAATGATGTTCATTCTTTAGCTGCATGTAACTAGCTCCTGTTACATTAGTGATGATAGCAGTCACATTAATAAAGCCAAGATGAAGGTTGATGCACACGTTCTAAATGAGCATGAACAAGGCACAATAGGTTGGTGTATTGCTATTTCATTGGGATATGCCTCAGTTGCATTGTATTTGGCTGCATGCTTCCAGTAATCTGAGCAGCGTGCCAATCACCAAGGAATGGATGCCCTAATGAGACTTGTTGCTTTTACAATATGTTGAAATAATGGCATAGGGCAGTTGGAGAATCAACAACAGTTTATTTTGAAAAAATGAAGTGTGTCACCCTGCCAGCAACAATAATTCTTAGAGAAAGAGAAAACAAATGATAAAGCTTAAGGGGAGGTGTCTTTCTGGAAAGCCAAAAAAACAAGAAAACAAGAACTGTGTATGTAACAGAAGCACTGTTCGCTCTTCAATGCACCCTTTTGTAGTTAAAAAAACCCCCAGAGGCCATGTCAACATTGCTACACAAAACTGTGGTAGCCGTAGCCATTTCAAAGATTTACAGGCCAGAAGGGACCCTTAGATAATCTATTCTGACTCCCTTTGTATCACAGGCCATTAAATTTGAGCCCAGTAACATGTGTTTGGCTAAAGTATACCTCCAGAAGGGCATCCGGCCTTGATCTGAAGACATCAAGAGGTGGAGAACCCACCGCTTTCCTTGGTAGTTTGTTCCAATGGTTAAGCACACCCACTGTTAAAAAAAGTGATGCCTTATTTCTAATTTGAAACTGTCCAGCTTTGATTTCCAGCCTTTGGTTCTTGTTATGCCTTTTCTTCACTAGATTAAGCAGCCATTTAGTATTTTCAAGTATTACTTTTGAGCATGGCTCTGCCTTATCACACTTCAGTGCATCCACCCCAATGAAGTACTTGGAGGGGCCTTTTAGAGTCAGATGGGGAGAGGTTTGAGTCTGGCAGGGCTCCACAGGGAATAAATAAATAATTATAATAAATAATAAATACATTCTATAGCCTGTTTTCATCCACTGATCTTAAAGCACTTTACAAAGCTGAGTAAGTATCAGTACCCCCAATTATGGATGATGAAGCAGAGATGTTAAGTGTCTTTTCTAAGGTGACACTGCAAGTCAATAACAGAAGCTGGAATATTCCTTGCAGTCCAGTGACCCAGCCCCTGGACCACCTGTCTTGTTATACAAGGGCTCTGTGGATGGAGGAAGAATGATCTAAAATATCCCACTGAAAGGAAGGACATGAGGCATTTCCGATCATTTCAGTTCACACCTGAAGCTCTTTGGAGGCAGGGTTGACGCATTTGGTGATTAACCATATTAAATGATTCATGCTTCCAGCCAAATGAGCATGGATGTACACCCCTTAATTATGGACAGAAGAAGGTCATCTACCAGAGCAACAAGTGCTGCCACGGTACTGGGACTTGGTGTGAACCCTGGCTGAGATGTGTTAGGAACAGCTTTTTGCTAGCTTCTCAGTTCGTTTCTTTAGAAGAGAGAGATTGGATACAGAACAAGTTTCCTCTGTGTTATGGGAACCACGCCAGTAGGGTTGGGCAGATGGGCAGAGTTATTATAAATTTACCATTTTATCTTCTGATTGGTTTAGTGCTGACTGTGCAATGGGACTGCACAGAACCAAGAGGATGTAAAGGCCCTTAAAGGAGCTGATAGTCTGTAGCTTTAGTCCTGCATTTGGACCAGGGGCTAAGGGTCTGATTGCATAATGGAGGCCTATGGAGTTTCACCTTGCACAGTCTACAAAGGGCACTGGAGCAGTGGGATCATGGGGATAGGTGTCATTGGCTCCAAGCCTGTATTGCAATCCGTGTGGGTGGACTGCTGCCCTCATGTGGAACCCTAGGGCCGTTTGCATACATGCATCACAGTGGTGGCTACATCTATACATCTTGTGAACTAAAGCCCGGATCCGGAAAGCTATTTCGGTGCCTACCTTCCATTGGCTTCCATAGGAGTTAGGCACCTGAATACCTTTGAGGATCTGGAGCCAAGCCCCTGTTCCTGCAACTGCATCCAAGTAGGTGGCTTCCTGTGCCTGTAGAGAGCCCCAATGTGACCCAGTGGCACTGGTATAGGATTCAGAAAATGTGGGTTCTGTTTTCTGGCTCTTCCTCTTGCCTGCTGGGTGATTTTGGGCCAGACACTTCACCTTTGCATGACTCAGTTTCCCTATCTGTAAAAGGGGTGTAGTTCTTTTGAGATCTGCTGATGAAAGTAGTGTATAAGGGCTAAGTATTATTACGGAGTTCTGTACAGGTGCAAGGGATCCACTGGTGCTGATCCTGTGGCCAGACCAGGGCCTAGGAGTGAAGCTGCCAGTCACATTTTGCTCCCTTCCCCAAGGAGGAACTAGGAAAGTGCACAGCCACTTTCTCCCAAAGACGAGAGGAGGAATGAACTATCCAGCCAGAGAGGGAGGGAAATGTTGCTCAGTGGTCACCTTCTCCCCACACTACAAAGGTAGGTAGAGCTGTGACTTGTTGGGAGGCTACTGGGGGCAACACATTTGTTGGGAAGCATTGTCTGTCTTCCCCAGCATCCTCTGCAAAGGGACAACTGCTTTCTTTCCTCTCAGCTTATGGGATCAGTGTTATCTCCATGGGTTTAGAAAGTGGAATGCATTTACCAAGACTCCCTTTGCGTTAAGTAAAGTAGCTTGACATGGCCAAAATGTATACTGGCCTGTTCATCTGTTTTTCTCTAAAAAAGTCTGGTTTTCATTACTTTTCAAGGCTAGAGAAGCATTTTCCATTGCAGTGGCTCTCTCCACCTCTCTAAGAGCCTGTGTTCCTGTCTGCGTGCAAAGACACTGGGACCTACGCTTGCAAAACAGAGATTGACGCTGCAACCCCCGAGGAACCTGCCTTTTTACCTGGTCCATAAAATCCTGTGCCGAGCACGGGTGCTGTCGTGGGGTAGCTAAGATTGAAAGGAAACGTGCAGTCCCAGGCAGTTCAGTTGGTTAGCATGTCAGTGGGAGGGGGCTTGCCTGGATGAAGTAATTCCAGGGAAGTGCACTCATTCATTAAAAGGATCAGCTGACGCTGTGGCAAACAACTTCTCCACTAGCTGAGCTGTGAGGCATCTCTCTTCCCACAGCTGAAACTCATTAACACAGTCCGTATCTGGCTCTGAAGTCTGGCCCCCACCTCCCCAACCAGGTTTTAAAAGCCTGGCTGCATAGGCTTTAGCAGGGCGGCGCCCCCTGGTGGTACCCGGCGCGCGCTGCCGCCTGTAATGTGATCCCAGCCATTGCCGATTGGCCCCGCGTCGGCCTTTGGAAGGGCTCCTGAGTGCGGCGGCGGCGGGAGCTGCCAGACGCTCCTGGGCTGGGGCTGGGGCTGGGGCTGGGGCGAGATGGAGCCCAAACTTCTCTCCTTAGCTGTCCTGTTCCTGGCCGGGCGGTGCGGCGCGTCCCTGCCCTGCCCCAGTCGATGCCTTTGCTTTAAAACCACCATCCGCTGCATGCACTTGATGCTGGATCACGTCCCCAGGGTGCCTCAGCAGACATCGGTCCTGTGAGTACCACGCTGCCTCCCTCCCTCCCGCTCGCTGAGCTTCCAGCTTCTGGTCCACTTCGTGCCTCTCAGGCCGGGCGCTTCACCTCCCTCCGCCCCAGCTTGGTTGTTGCAAGACAAGAGCGTGACCCAGGGGCTGGAGCAATTTGAGCAGGGGCAGTGGGGAGCAATTCCAGGGGGATTCCTTAGAGACATACTGGGCGGGGGGGTGGCTGACCCCGGGGTCCCTGAACGATTCCACAGGAGTCTGGTAGCAGAGTGACTAGGTGGGGGTTGAGTGATCCTGGGCGCAGTGGCATCCCCCAAGGGGAAGGTGAGCGCTGGCATTCCTCAGGGGGGTATTCCTGAAAAGGGCTGGGTACATTTGGGCAGTGAGTGCTCACTGTGGCACTCAATTGGTAATGAAAGAGGTGCCGGGGCTCAAGCAATTTGTTTACTTTCATAACTGACCTGGCAAGCCCAGAGGTGCCAGGGCTATGAACCGCCAAGCCTAGGGGTGCTGGGCTCAGCCCTTGGCACAAATTAAGCACTGGGCATTGGCATATCCCTGGGGGAATCTCTAGAGCAGCAGATCAGAGGAGCTCCTGGTGGTGGTGGGGGACTCATATATTCCAAGGGGAGATGTGTGAGGTATCCAAGTGAGAATGACTGGCACATCATAAGGGGAGTCTTCAGTGATGGTGTTTGGGGAGGGGTGGGTTTGAGTGATCTCAGGGGATAACTTATTCCAGAAGCACCCCTGGAATATAGGGCTGGGATGAAAGATCCCAGGGGGGAATAGGAGAAATCAGGCTGGGCGTGTACTTGAGGTAGTGGGCGATGGATGCATTTCAGTGGCTGACCTGGGTGGGTGAGGGTGATTGTTAATTGCAGAGGCTTACCACTGGGAAGGATTGGAGGTTTGAGGTGATTATATGGCTGGAGGAGTTTAGATTGGAGGTAAATTATTTGAAGGATGAGAGAAAAAAGAAGTGTTTGTACTTGTGTGGAAACAATTTCATTTGTGACAATATTGATGCCGAGAACTGCAGCAGCTCCAATGAGCTCTTTCCACTGTCAGGAGTAAAGGTAGAGATAAAAGAAAATAATCAAAGTTGTGTTGACGTGACAGGAAATGACCAAATGCATTGGAACAGATGGAGCTTTGACTATTTTGTTGGCTAGGGCCACGTTGCTGGACTGTTTTTGCTCCCTGGTTATCTCTCTGGAGATAGGACTGCAAAGCAGCTGCTGATGTTCTCTTGTAAGGTTGGGCTTTGTTTAGTTCCTCCCTGTGTCAAGGCCAGGATACCCTTTTGTCTAGTCATGAAATAGGACTGGCAGGTCACTGCTTTCCAACCAAATTATCACAACCAGTAATGGTTTTTCAGCTTGATTGCCCTTACTGTCATTCGTTAATGTTCCCATATCCAATTTTTGCTCTCCTTATGTTTGGAAATGTTTGTATTGTTGGAGTGGAAAATGATCAAGTAACAGACTAATAGTTACAGCAGCATGAGATTATCAAGGTGGCTGTTATTTCAGAGTGTGTGTTTGCAAGTGATTACATTTTTAAGCCTAAACCTCTCTGTGAACTGTTTTAAACCAGAACTAGCTTATGATTTTAACTGATTACAATTGCCATGGATAAACATGATCTGCTACCACGATAGTTTTTGCACAGGAAACATGAGGATCTGTTTTCAGATGCTATTATTTTCCCTTTAGAAAACATCTGCTAGCCTATCAAGACCTTAGTCGTCATTGCTATTGAAACTGTTAAAACAACAATGAAAAGCTGACTACAGCTTTGTCAGAGACGGAGAAATTAAGAGCCAAGTGGCAGTTGTAATAAATGGTTGAAAAGATTAAGGCTGAAAATTTCAGGGAATGAACAAACTTTGATTTGATTTTGTTTTTGTAAAAACTGGATTAATCTCCTTGAATGCTGTGTGTTACTGGAAGTTGCTAAAGATTCAGGTTTACAGCTGTGACACTATGATTTGCTCTCTTAAAGTCTCTTCACTGCGGATTAGATCAATAGAAAATTCATCTTGGCTCACTTATTTGCTTTTCCTAAAGCAGGAAAGAGCAATGCCCAACTGTGACACCTACTCACACCTAACTGATGCCAGCTCTGATTAGAAATTGTCTTCTGCAGTAATCCTTTGAGATTAAGTATCTACTGAAGCAGCATTGTCAGTGGGCAGTATAATATTTTATATTATTTACACTGCCGGAGGCACCAATCTAGCATAAATGGACAGTAAAAAAGACAGTCCCTGCCCCAGAGAGATTATAGTCTAAGGCCCCAATCTTCAGTGTCCTTGGCCTCCTTGTTGTGGTATGACTTCTGTGCAGAAGACAGTGAGACACTGCATGGGTACAAGGAACTGCTTGCAGGATCAGAGCCACTCTGCAGGTGCAACTGAGTGAGGATGAGATAAGAGTGAACAATTTATTAGAAATGTGATAGAGGATGCTGAAGAAATATGTTGTGAAGAATACTTTGTAAAGCTTCCCCTTCTACACTGAGATGGTTTACAACTCTGGTGATGGAGAGAAGGCCCAATCTGTACTAGGTAGAGTTCAAGACCATAAAGGACCATTAGCTCGTCTAGTCTGACCTCTCGTATATCACAGGTCATAACACTTTATCCAGTTACTCCTGTATTGAACTCAAGAACTTTTGTTTGACTAAAGCATTTCTTCCTGATAGGCATCCAGTCTTCCCGTGAAGACGTCAAGAGATGGCAAATTCGCCACTTCCTTTGGTAACTTGGTCCAATGGTTAAACAACCAATGGTTAGTCGTCCTCGCTCTTAGGTAGCTTTTAAAGGAGGGCATTTGGTCCTCTCTTGTGATTATTCTACATGGCCTGTTATAAAGGAATAATTATTGTTTTGCACAAGAAGAACTACATAGAGGGATGTGGAGACAATTCTCTAAATAGACCTAGAAATTCAGTTAAAGCTGTTGGGATTGACAGATTTATTTTAAAGCCATTTAAACCAATTAAGTGATACCAAAGGATTACAACATAGTATAAACAATATCTCGAACTCCCTTGACATGCCACATTTAGATAGTGAGAAGTGTTCTCAGAAGGAATGGGCAGGTCATCTGAAAAGAGACGAAAAATGATACAGGGCTCTTTGTCCTAAAGTTCTTGGCATATGTATACATTGTGCAATTCTGTGGTAAGTTTCATGGTCTTGGATATAAAATGTGAATGTTCATAGAAAAAGTTCATAAATAGTCTTAAAAAGCTTCGCCTGACAGAGCCATGTTAAATGTCTATGTTCAAACTACCTTTACCAACTGCAGTTGGTAAAGGTAGTTTGAACATAGACATTTAACATGGCTCTGTCAGGCGAAGCTTTTTAAGACTATTTATGAGTTTTTTGTTACTTCACGTTTCCCTTACTTTATTAGTAGGTTCATGTCACTCGCTTGGACTAAGTCAATCTTATGTATTAATTGAAAATGTTTGCTTTGTGTGTCAATTGCCAGCTTGCTCTTGCACCTCCTGAAGAGGGTGAGTGAACCATAAAAAGAATAGCGATCAGTCCAAAAAGAAACTCTTCCAGCTCAGAAGAATAACTTCTGCTTCCTCAAGAATAAAATAGGATTATATGTTTCATGTTTGCCAGTTCTCATTCCAGCTGCTAACATATTGGTTCCATTGGACGAAAAAAGATTTTCCCTTAATATGTCTGGTGTTCAAATGCTCTGTGTTTCATGCCTGTATGCTTTCCACCTGACACGGCTAAAGATGTTATCTAGTTGGGTCTTTTTTAGTTACTTGAACTGGAAAGCTTCCTTCCTCCGTGGTGGTCATATAAGAATTTTACAGGATTCTTGTGAAAAGTGTTAAGTTGGAGAAGTGCCTAGAAGCTCAGACTGGCTCAGTATTGCCTTTCCTGATTTTTTTTAGTTCTGCTTTTAAAGTACTGTGCTTTGTAACTTGATATACAAGATATAGCAGAAATGACCTTGGCCAATATTACTTCCTTTCCTTGTCCTCAAAATCAGCATGACCATTGTAAAGGGTGGAGGTGTATGGGTGGCGCCAGGGGGGAAATAGATGTGTTATGTATATTGATTTGGGGATGGGGTTTTGAGCCCAGTAATTCCTGCACCATATAACAGTAGGCGCGATGTCCAAACAAATGGCACCATATGCCTCTTTAAATATACTCTATTGTATTCTCATGAAGTTCTGCACATTTATTTGGTGTGATACTGGCTATGTTCTGGGTTTGTTGGGATTTGGGGGGCATGTGAGGTTGTCAAATGCATATCAAGAAAAGGATGATTTAATGATGAATGCATAGAGATCTTTACACAGGGTATATCGCTAAACAGATGCATGGTGCTACATACAAAGACTTTACCATGGCTAGTCCTAAGCTCCCAGGAATAGGAGATGTCATGCAGGATTCCTGTTCCTCAGTATGCGTACTTGATTGCAGAAGCCTGTTTCTGTACAAACTTATGGGTTTTGCTACATATATATACAGCTCCTGTCTTAGGGTTCTGATGGCTTCTGCCATAAAAGACAGAGAGGTCCACTAGAAGGTTCCTAAGCAATTCAAAGGGATATGCCTCAGTTCCTATATAATACAACATCTGAAAACTACAGATCAAAATGGTAGGGAAAAATCCTTAATTATTGTGGAGATGAACTAGAAGACCTAATACATATTTTAGGTCTAAATCCTGCAACTGACTCTGCATAGGCAGCCCAAATGGGTTACGTCCACACTGCAGGTGGGAGTGTGCTTCCCAATTCAAGTAGACAGTTGTGCTAGCTCTGTTTGATCTAGTGTGCTAAAATAGTAGTTCAGCCAGGTTAGCATAGGTGCGGGTTGGGCTAGCCACCCGAATACAAACCCGTCTTGACCCCTGCTGGCTAGCCTGAGCCGCTGGCTGTTGCACCGTTTGTAGCATGCTGGCTCAGCTCAAGTAGACAGACGTGCCAGAAGTGCACTCCCAGCTGCAGTGTAGACATGCCCATT